AGAAAACCTTTTGAGGGAAAGTGATGAGCATTTCTGTGGGAGATCTAATACAACTGTCCGAGATAGACATCGAAAGAAATTAAAATGTTTCATAAATTAACAGCGCGTTATTATAAGTTATACTGTTGAAAAAAAAAAATGATTATTTATCACATTGATGTTTATCAGGAAAACTTAGAAGTAGATTAATTAATTTCTATCATTTCAAAAGTGATTGTTGAACTTGAGAGAGTATTCGAAAATATTACGCGGTAATAATAAAAATTAATTTAATTTTAGCCAGTATTTGAAACATTCATAGCAAAACTAACAAATTAAATCGAATTCTAGTCGAATCGTTTCCTTTTCAAACTTCAGATTCTCGAATGCTACGTTTATGATTTATAAAATCGAAGATAAAACTGTTAGGGAACGTATCCACCAGATGCTGTAAGCAATAACAACGAATGTTGAATAAAGAACAAAGTAACGGAATGCGTTAGAAAAGATTGCGCAGCGACAAAAGTGTCTGCGTATGCAGATGCGTCTACGTTTCGTGTCTGATTGCCGGCGCTATCCGCCGTCTCGCGTACGCGAGAACAGAAGCATTTCAACCTGCGTCCCATTGCAGAAGAGCGGTGGGCGAAACAATGTGGCTTTTGTGGGGCAAAAGAAACGGCGACGCCCGCCTAAAGAGAAAAGCTAAGAGCGATTGAAATACGCTCTCGTATGTCCGCCTTTCTTCCTCGGTTTTATTCCCGCCTCTTTCGAACCCCGCTACCGCGTTCGCTACAGTTGTTTCCGCGCCTTTTATATTTTGTATTACAATAAGCGGAATATATATGTGCGCTTGTGCAAGAGTGCAAGAATTCATATAGAATAAAAATGTTCCATCGGAAGTATCCCGTGATTGGGAAATAAAACAAAAATGCGACGTGATCTTTAAAAGGAAAATTTTAACGATATTTCTGTCGTCTCGAAAACACGCGTCTTCCGCGCTAAATTCGTAGATTTACGGACGTGAACTTGAAGATCGTCACTCACGACGAACGGCCGAGGAAGCTGCGGCGAGAGGGGATTTTCGCGGAGGGGCGAGAGGCAGGGTAAGAGCGAAAGAATGAGAAAGTAACGACGGTGGCTGGGGGACGGCGGGATGGTGGCGGTCGGCAATCGGGGGGATGGGTGTGTGTCGAAGGAGCGAGTATTGAGAGATGGAAGGGAGGGAGGGACACATGGGGAGGCGGTATGGGTGGTTGCAGGTTGGTAGTCAAGACTGCCTTCAGATTTCCAGAGTGAAGCATTGTGTTCCGAAGGCGCATTGTCCTCCCGTCGGCGGGAACTCGACAATGCCGAGTCCGTAAGTTAGTAACCCTACCGTAAAAACTTATCTCCACCCCCGAACCATCGACCTCCAGCCTCCGTGATTCCGTTCGATTTCCAACCTGCCCCCCCCCCCCCCCCCCCCCCCCCCCATCCATTGGCGCATTCTCCTGGGCCCCGGCGTTCCGGAGGACGTGTATCTTTCTCTCGCTTCCTCTGCCTCCCTTTTCAGATTACGGCAGAACAATTCCGCGCCGCGGTTCTGACGTCTTCCTTCTTGCGGAATCAAGCCAACCGTCGCGTAACGAATTCGTTCCTCGCGGCCGAGAACGGGTGTATCTCCCGTTCGTTTCCTTCGCCGCGAGTATATCTTTAAATTGGAGCTCTAACAGCGACTGGTCCGGATCACGCTCTGCATCGCGCCGCCTTCTGTAAAAAGTATCAGAAATTAATTTTTTTGATAAGTATGATTAAGAAAACGAAAAAAAAACATTCTCCGACATTGTTTTGCGCGTTGCTGTTATCTTCTCACTTTTACACCCGATAACGCAATTGCGATTAACCCGATTGCGTCTTCTTAGCAGCTAAAATTGATAACATATATATATATATGAGCGTTCGTCACTGCGCACCCAATGATGTGCGTTAATTGTATCGACGATTCGTGAGTATCGCGGGAAGCGAACACACACAATGGGGCACACGGCGCGCGATTCCGAGAGTCGGAAGTGAACGTTCCGGGGAGCGGATACAAGCATCAGGGGTTGGCGGGTGGTCCTCTCCTCTTCTCACTCTCTCTCTCTCTCTCTCTTTCCCGTTCGAACTCAAGTTGCCGGCCGGCCGGACAGCGCTCGGTCGCCGGACAAAGCTCCTCTAATTGTCCCTATCAGCGACGAAGAATGGACGGCGGGCCTGCCTCTGACAATTTCATTTGTAATTTGCATAAGGCTTATTAAAATCACAATGAGCGAGGAGTCGCGGCGTTGCTGCGTCGCGCGGCGATGACCGGCGATCACGGGGACGATCGCGAGAACGATGCCCTATAGCGCGTACCCCTCATAATCTTTTTTAGAACCGCTTATACCGGAGTGGAGGATATAATCGCGTTATATGTACATCGAGTGACGCCGATTGCACCGGTTGTGCGATGTTAACACCTTTTTGCAAGTTGCTATTGCTCTGCCTACAATCCTATGTATACATATGGCGTGTCAGACCTGCACACAAGTGCAATCTCGTTTAACAAACGTACGAGCGTTTCTTATAAAGAGATTTTCAAGGCTATAATTCAGAAACTAATCATGGAAAGTTGATGAAATATTAGACTTTTTATCAGACACAGAATTAGAACATATTACAAATTTATCGAACATTCTTCTCGTTAGTATCATGTGGGGTTTTTTTTTTATATTAAATATGTAGTAGATTTAGTTATTTTATTATTCTTGCTTTGAGATATGCAGATATGTACAGACGGCGTCATTATAAAATACTCCGATTCTCTAACGACAAACGTATGCGTAAACTCTGCTCTAACAGAAAAGCTGCAAGCTTATTGGCTAAAAACTGTGCGATAGCCAATGAATTTGCAGCCTTTCTGTTAGAGCAGAATTTGCGCATACGTTTCTCGTTAGAGAATCGGGCCCCCCTTGGTCCCCAAAATTAGATGCGTTTCGGAAACTCACTCTTCGTCTCTTTCTAACTGTTTCCCTTAGAAAGAGACAAAGAGTGAGTTTCCGAAACACATCCAATTTTGGGGACCAGGCATTAATGACGTCGTCTGTACATCTTCGAGAATCGTTTATGAAAAAATAAATTAATTGGGAACATTTTTTTGCTGCGCGTCCGCCAGTCCGCTATGTATATAGGGAGAAAAGGCATAACGTTCGCCGCCCTGGCAATCGCGATATTCGCGATCTGTTGGCAATACTGATTCACTCCGGTCTCCTCGCGTGACGCGTCTGCTTGCGTTTACAGTGCACCCTTGACGATGACGAATGTTTTCTTTTCGCCCCGCGCGTACTGCAAAATCATTTTACACGCAGCCAAATACCCGCATTGTGCAATAAATGGCCTGCTGCTCGGCAAACAAAAGAGCAAGGACGGCAGGGCGGATCTGTACATCGAGGATGCGATACCTTTATTCCATATATGCCTACATGTTTCCCCAATGGCGGAAATAGCGCTTACTTTGGTAAATATTTCACGGATACTCGTTACCGCGGTGAAGCACTTCGCGAAATTGCACTTGCTGTCGCGCCTCCTTGGGCACGGTACCTCGGCACGCGCGAAAATCAGGGTGTGACGTGGACGTGTCAGTCCATCCTAACCTATATCTATACCACAAGGACGAAACGTCACAGCGAGTGATCGCGCGCTCTACTTTTTTCATTATATTGCAAAAGTTTCCGTTCGAAATGCTAGAACAATAATCCTGTAATGTTAATTTAATGTTGCAACAGGTGGACCAGTTAGCTGCAAGCAAAGGCCTTATACTGGCAGGTTATTACCTGGCTAACGAGAATATAAATGACTTAAGGTACCTTGATATTTTCTTTTTAATGTAACTAACATCCCTTTTTTTTACATTGCATTGAGTACTGATTCACCTCTATGTTCTTCATGCAGTACAGATAGACCAGCCCACAGAATAGCAGACAAAATCGCAGAGAACTTTAATAACGCGCTGCTGGTAGTGGTATGTTTATCAGTCGACACGTCAAAACGTTTTACAAACTTCTACAAACTTTATTGGTTTTTACTGTTATCAGGTGGATAATCGAGAAGTGACTCTAGGTATGGGATCGAGTCCGTTGAGAATTTCGCAATCTGTAGAGGGAAAATGGAAGCCAAAGGATATGGCAAAGTAATTATTAATTATATATTTTGAAGATTATGCGGAAAAATCATGACCCTTGAAATTCAACTTGATAGAGTTCTTTTGCTCGGGCATAAAATATTTTTCTTGTTGCAGTATAATTTACGAGGACGATGTTGCACACACAGATGCAATGTATTCGTTACTGAAGGCAGAGGAGTATAGGAATCTGGTCGACTTCGACAACCATCTCGATAACATCGCTCTTGATTGGCAAAATCAGAAACTAAATAAAATAATCGACGAGGCTGTTGACAAACACACATAAGAGATGACAATGCAACCATTCCACAAACATAGATCATACAAAGATTGTTTTATTTATATGTTATGTTGCACTCTATCTATATTTCATTCACACTATATGCAAAATAACAAATGTACATACGCTATAGAATTTATAAAATGAATATCACCTGTTTTTAAAATATCAGAGCTTTTACCTATTATCCTGTAATCTCCACTCTTTACAAGTAGTCCTTGTATTATCTTTTTCAAGAGAAAGATCTCCCTTGGATTCAGTAATTTTATAAGTAACATTTAGATTTGATAGACATTGAATTTAAAAAGACGTGACTATTATTTTCTATATAAATGCAGTATATTTTTATAACAGTATATTATTTATATTTTTTTCATTTTATGTATTATATCCTGTATATTTTTATGGAAAATCCCTGAGAGCTGTAAACCCGATTTTGAAAATCGTACGAACGATAAACTTCATAATTGAATGAGAAAATAATGAAAGATAACTCTTATTACGGGATGGGTTTGAAATGAGAATGTATATGTATATACATACATCGATTTACAATTCTACGGCCAAAACATTATTTACCGACCGGTTAAGTAGGCAGGTTGAAGGAGAGGGAGCTTCAATGTAAATAATTTCTCCGGACAGTTTAATTCCACATTTATCCTTGTATTTATTCGACTTTCAACTGCCAAAGGAAGTTCTACCATTTGCATGTAAAATATTGTTTTATTGCAATTGTAACGACAGTTATCAGGACAATCTTGTTGTGTGGACTTAACCTCCAGTTTAGTAACGTCTTACGTTCGTAAAGAAATCAAGGTAAAATGACAAATACTTAAAATATAGATAGTCATTCCCTTCATAGAGAGCAACACAATATTTTAAACATAATATTGGGAATACGAGCAAATTATTTATCTATAATTTGTGTACTTTTTGAAAAAATGAGTGGAAAATATATGTTCTAATATTTAACTCATATAATTTATAATATTTGATATTAATGATGAATGTTATACTAAGATATCATTCGTTATATTATATAACAGTACTTGTAATCGCCATGTATATAAATATATAATTTATTTGGAATTTAACAAATTTTTCTTTTAAGTGATTTTTTGTTTACTTTGTATATATTCAAATATTCATGTCTTTGTATTTTTTATTGTTAACAGGGTCCACACGGATAATGGAACATCGATGTAATTGTGGTAGTGCACATGATACAACAGAATTAGGAGTCAGTTACAATTTATTCGAAAAAATAGATAAAGATAGAGTGGAGTGCCTAAACGAGCACGAGGAAGGCAGTGGTGCCAGGGTCTTCAAAACGTGGGAAGAAAGACTAGATAGATCAGAGGTGAGTTCTATGATATTTCTGTATTATAAATATCAAGTATACCTTAATATTTTTACGAACCTTTCTACGGAATCTTTTCTCTATTTTACTTCTAGTACGTTCAAAGTGATGTCGATCCTGAGCTTCTATTTAACATACCGTAAGTATTCTGATGCAATTTTTGTGAAAATGGATCAATATCTCATTACATTTTAATTTCTTTTGCAGTTTTACAGGAGATGTAAAGTTAAAGGGTCTTATTGTAGTTGGAGATGACGAGTATTTACCCAAAACAGTAAAACTGTGAGTATAATTAAAGTTTCTCAAAAATAAAAAGAATTTATATGTCGACATTCAAGATGCAAAGATGAATGATAATGTGTTTCAATAAATTTATGTATGTTATAGATATAAAAACCGGCCACATATGCTATTTGATCATGTAGGTACTAGCCCAGAGCAGGAATTTGAATTAATTACAGATTCATATGGAATACATGAATATCCTATAAGGTAATTGTACGGTTATTTTTGTTTGTATATTTTTAAATTTAAGAATTTTTATAACACAACTGTAATTGCATACCATATTGTTTGTATGAGATATTAAAAATACACAAAAATGATGTGCTATATAAATTATCATTACAGAACAGTCAAGTTTTCATCAGTGCAGCATTTGAGTCTTTACTTCACTGGCGACGAAGAACAAGTTAAAATTTATTACATCGGTCTCAAGGGAGAATGGACACCAGCTCACAAACATGGCGTAACCATTTGTACATACGAAGCACGTCCCCTAATCAGTGATCATCCAAAAGATTTTAGTGAGGTCGGTAAGATAATTAAATGATATCTGGATTGAAACCCGTTTTTGAGATTCTGGTATTGAAAACAGGAAACGGATACGATTGTAAAATAATGTATTTTCTATATTCTGTCATGAAAATTCGATATAATATGGATGTTTTTGAATAAAAGTCCTGTAATAATAAGAAATTCTGGTAACAGTTTTATTTCAATTACACTTATATGTTCGTAGTCTTATTGGAATTATGCTCTATGATAAGATGTACATTAAAGACCTTACTTACTTAACAAATATATTGTACATCATTTCCATCACATTACACCATTAGTAAACCTTCCTGGCATGGTACACGGTTTAGATTGATCGATTTTAGAATATAAAATAACACATTATATGTCTTACGTTTGGAATTTGATCTTTCCTACATCCATTTCTGAGAATTGCATATCTAGGTGAAAATCAATTATTTGAAATAATTCCAATGGTTGTGGTATCCTGCCGGTTTCGAGCTTCGACCAAACAGGAACGTCTGAAATATATCAGATGCGATCAAGTATTTCACATGATGCTCGATGTTAACAACGACTTACAACTGAATATACTTACCATTGAAATGTATTTCAAACGCACCCGAAGAAATCAATTGGCCCTCTATGGCATTGCCAATCAGAAAAATCAATATACAGGAATAAAAACGATTATTTATACACCACTGCCATATGGATGTTAGGGGCAGACCAAAGTTGAATCTTCCACTTCCACATATTAGAATGATTATCAGTATTTTCAACGTTCCCTAAATACAAATTTATAAATGAGACATATATACAGCAGCATAAATCGCAGAAAAGTATCAGGCAATGAATTTAATTACCAGCGCTTTGGCGATTAACATATTATGACCAGGTGGATTAAAGTTCTCGCCTTCCACATGAAGTTCTGGATACTTCTGCTTAAGAATACTCACATATTGTTCATAAGCTTTTTTATAACCGCACGAATAGCTGCAACAGAGAAACGACAAATTAATTATTTACCGACGAGCCTGAAGATGAACAATAAAATCCACGATGTCTCTAGATTTATGTGAGAAGTCTAACAAGTGTCTTATTTAATCGCGTGTGTAATTTAACGGCGGACGATCGTTGCGCGTCCATTATCTTATAGGACGCACGCCTCCGGGCGCCTCCGTGAAAATCAACAAGAGAGATCGCCGAAGCTCACCAGTAAAAGAACTTCAGGGTCGGCCCGGTTTTTGCGCCGAGTTTGGTTAACGGCGCCTCGTCGCCGCTGTTCGCCTCTATGCTGTGCGCCAGCAAAACCGCGAGGGCACACAGGCGTATTAACCAGCGCATATTTATCCTATCCTTATCAATTCATTGAAGAAGACGGCCCCACACCTCACCGTCCACGCGACGACCAGACGCAACCGACGCAACTAAACGCATCGAATTACTGCATGGCACCTATCCTATCAGCCTGGAGTATTCTCTCCCTCTCTCCCCTCTGTCTCTCTTTCTCTAACGTGTGTTGTTTGCGTGGGGAGTACCGAAACTTATCGCGAGCCCTCTAATTTCCCAATTATTGCCGCAGAACGCCGTTATCGCAACTGATACCGTCAGATTTCGACCCGACCCAGTTGAGAAGTGAATTTTCGCCTGTCATCGACAAGAATACAAATTGTTCTCACTCTGACAGGTTGCCTCGTACGCATGCTTCGCTCGCGGCGGCAGCGCTATTGGCCGCCCTCGGACAGCCGTTTTGGCCGGAGGTTGTCGTCGTTGTCGGTTGTCGGCTGCCCGTTTTCCACGTCGACGACGTCGCAGAAGCGATTTCGCGCTCGTTTCTCGTCTCTCACCACGGAAACGCGAGAGATCGCCGGTTTCCGAAAAACGCGCGCTTGAATATGGCTCCAACAGCATGCATTTTAGCGATCCTTCGACGATCTCGAAAGATGTAAACGAGAGTTTCGGGAGTCTTCTACTCCGGCTGTCGAAGGATTCTCGTGCGACATAGCGTTGCCTAAATACGAGCGTCCCGTTAATTGGGAGGGTTAAATAATTTCGATCGTACGGATCGCAGATCACAGCATTTACAGCCTCCCGCGCGACATCGGCGTTCCGAAATTCATCGAAACGGACTGTTTCGATCTTCCTGACCTGTCCTCACTCCTCTCAGATGACGTGTACACGTTTGACATGGCTTCGTTGACATACCCGCGTAGGTTATGTGCAGCTGATAAACTCCAAGATCCGCGATGAGCGAGAAAAACATTAACTCCGCTTTAGTGCGGAGGGTCAACAAGTTGCTGGAATCCAGGGTGGAGCACGATAAGGTACGAATGAATAATGAATCCATCGATGATAAACGAGTCGATTATGTGGGAATCTCTCTTCTGCAATTTGGGTACGTTTTTGAGTACTGAATAATTCAGATCCCGTATTTTAGGACACGTTAGAAGCTTTGAAAGAACTGTCAACCTTCTTCACTGAGAACACGTTGAATTCCCGCCGAAATCTGCGGAGCAAAATAGAGAGAAGGAGCCTAGCGATAAACGAAGAATTCCTGGCCGCCTTCAAGCAGGTAAAGGGTGCTTTGGACGATGTTTATCAAAATGTTCTAGCGATGAACACGGCCGTGCAATCTATGACTAATCGCTTGCAAGTCACGAAGGCTCAAACGTCGCAACTGATCGAGCAGACCTCCAAGCTTCAGAGCGAAAGGTAAATAGGTATTTATAGGACGATACGCAGCTGTAGTTTCTAGGAAACTTATCGTTTATTTTTATCCCCAGTCAAGCGTTGACTATGCAGCAGGAGATCGCAAATGCATTTATCAGAAATTTCCAACTGACTCAATCTGAATTGAGCGTACTGCACGGATCAGCCAGAGAGTCGCCTATAACGGAGGAGTTCTTTTCTGTGGTTAATAAAGTACAGGTAGTACTGTCAAAGCTATTTGTCTTCAGTAGCGATAACTTGCTTCTGTTATTGTACTGTTATAACTTTGTTGGAATTCCTTTTCTAGGATATTCATGGTAAATGTAGAGTACTGATGCAGTCCGGCTATCAGACATTGGCCCTGGATATCATGCAAAGGATGACGTTGCTGCAAGAATCCGCGCTTGAAAGGTTATATCGGTGGACGCAAACTCAGTGTAAAAACATAGAAAACGAACGTTTGGTGCCGTTACTCATTAAGGCTATGAATAAACTACAAGATAGGCCAGTGTTATTTAAGTAAGACGATTAATGTTGAATTCAAGTATCACTTCTTTGAAACTGCTATTTTTATCACAATTGACACGCACTGAACATTGCTAGGTATATTCTGGATGAATACTGTGCGGCAAGAAGAACTGCTTTGGTGGGATCCTTCATAGATGCGCTAACATTAGGAGAAAATTTTGGTGGGACACCTAATCCTATAGAAATGCATGCGAATGATCCTAAGCGATATGTCGGCGATATGCTTGCTTGGTTGCATCAAGTGATCCCTGTAGAGAAAGAGAATATTCTTATTTTAGTGAAAGGCTGTGATAAAACGGGTAAGAAACTCTTTTTCTTCATCTTAAAAGCCTTTGTTAGGCTTAAATTGTTAAATATGAATTTGTTTATCGCAGATGTGTCAGATCAAGTGAAACAGGCGTTAAGTAATATCACGGAGGGATTATGTCATCCTTTAAAATCAAGAATAGAGCATGTTATAACTACAGAGGCGCCAGCAACAGTATTATATTCGGTTACAACCTTAATCAGATTTTACCACGCTATTATTGAACAAATCATACCCGACAGTGTCCTGGACCAGACATTGTCGGACTTATTAGTCTTGAGCGAAAAGAGTTTTCTAAGCAGGCTGCAGAGAGAAACGAGAATCGCTCTCGGGGAGCGCGCCGAGCCTCCCGGAAGCGATTTGGTCCCCGCTCCATCAGTCTCTAGACTATTGTCACTTCTAAATGAAATATTGTCGGTCGCCAGTATAGCTGAAGACAGGGAGAAAGATATGTTGCAGGTATATTCAGCAAAAATATTTTTCGCCTTTTTGCATTTACTTTATGTCGTTCTTTATGATCCATAGATCGTGTCGTGTATCATCGATCCATTACTTCAAGAAGTAAATGAGACGGCATCCAGATTGCCAACCGTGGATATGGCCGTTTATCTGCTCAATTGTATGCATCAGATACAATCGACGTTAGCATTGTACGAATATATGGATCAGAGATTAGAAAGGTTACAGGTGATTGGTTAGTTTGTACATTAGAGTTAGACGTAATAAGATAAAATTTATTTCTATTGCTTCATTTGGCGTTTACTTGTAAATTTTGACGATATCGTAATCAACTGTAACAATCTAGGCACAATCGGATGCGCAAATCGACACGCTTACGTCGGAGCAAGCTAGTTCTTTGGTCGCGCATTTAAATCTCGGCTCGATCTACACCATTCTGCAAGGACGCGATCAGGGACCGCTTTCGTCCATACCCGGCATGGATGCCCTCAGCGTGAAAGAGTTTACTGTAAGTGCTTCAATCTTCAATCGCAAATATAGAATAATATACGATTAACGACAGGCATTGATGCTTCTTTACAGAATAAACTGGAGGCATTTCTGGTGATGCCGGACGTCTTGCTGCTACCGCAAATAAGTTTGCTGCAGAGCAACAATCATCGCGTGATCACTCAGAAACGATCATTTGAAGTAATCGGAGCTATATATAGACAGTTGTACGACGCCTGCCACGACCCGAAGAATTTATACCAAAACCCTAGCGGTCTCTTTTCTAGAACACCCGAGGACCTCCTTCAGACACTAGTTTCTCAATAATTACATCTCCAAACTTCCAAAGGCATCGTGTATTATATACATACATGTACATATTTAAATGATAATGAAGTATACGAAAATGAGTATGCTTGATTCTTTATAAGCATGAAATGTTTCGAGCTTTTTAAACATTTTTAATCATTATTTTTAATAATCAATTAAATATCTTGAACTCTGTAAACAGTTTTAACACGTGTGACGTGCGTTATTTCCTTTGTCAAACGTCGGATTTGTAAAGGATCTCTTTGTTTAAAACTCCGGAAAGACGGGCGGATTTAGCGTCCCGCCAATGGCCGCGATTGGCGCGCGATTCTGGAGCGCAGGCGACGACGAGCGCCGATTGGTCGACGTTGTTCGCGTCGCCCGCGACGGCCGTGGGTCGGCGCACGGCGCCTCGCGCGGCGATTGGCCCGGCGTTTTCAGTCAGTCGCTAGTCCGGTGCGGTGGAATGTGGTCGCTTCCGCATTTTGTTCGCGAGCGCCGCGCGTCTTTCATTCATCCGCTCGTGTGGTAGTGCGTGGCTCGCCGTGCGCGAACGCTTTCATCGGCCTGATCGGCAACAAACGATCCCGCGCGTCGATCGTTTTGCCCGGGGGAACGGTCCCGCCGAGATCGCGTCTCCGCGGTCCGGGTACGGACTGTACGGAGTCTGTCGTCTCGCACACACGGGGTGGGCGACGTGAAATGCGGCGCCGTACGGCGGCGGGCACGGCGCCGACGCGACGCGACGCACGCAGCGCGATATAATTCCGGACCGCGGGCATCAAACGCGCCATGGACCTCGCCGTCCCGTCGACCCATCGACGCGCACAAAGGACGGATGGATAAGCGGCGGCAGTAGTGAGTGAGTGAGTGGAAAGAGCGTTATTGAGTGCGGGAGCAAGATGGCGGAATCGAGCTATTATCAGGTGAGTCTCCGCCGCGCGAGGCACTCCGTCTGCGCTCTCCGTCTCTCTCTCCACGCTCTCTTTGCGAACTGGCGCGCGTGCCCGACGTGTGCCCCCGCGACGTTGTTTCCCCCCGTGCGTTTACACCTTACACCCGCCGTACGCCGTAATCGCGCACCCTCTCCTGGGGCACGCGGACGGTCCTGGCTCCTCCCGGTTCGCGTTCTCACCTCTCTTTCCGCCGTTTCTCGCTCGCTCGTCCGCGACGCACATGCACTTGTACCCCGGGGCACAAGCGGGCTTTCCCCACCGACACGACGGGAACCGTCGCTGTTTTCGTGCGAGAATCGCGCGGCGAACCAGGCGTGACGGGCCGCCGCCGCGCCGCACATCTGATCTATGCGTCCGATTTTCTTCGCTCGGGCCAGCCCCGCTTCTTCGCCGTTGACTGTCTGGGTTAATTGACTCTGTTCCCGCTGTTCCCTTCGAGATTACGTTGCCACCTGTGCGACGTAGACGCGGGGGAGAAAATCCAGTTAACGAGGATCAAGCGACGTCGTCGGGGCGATCGGCATCCACCCGATCGCGAGGTTGCGGTTAGCGACTGCTCCGCTAACACGCCTATCATATATATTCACAACGTATACTTGCCATAGATAGTAAATTAATCTAATGATTGATCTAGGTCTGTCTGATCGGCGACTAAATCGTACGACCCAAGTCTCGGAGGAGAATTTTACCATGCCGGATTTTACGAGCGATATCTCTCGTCGAGGTTACTTTTCGACGCGGAAAGAGATTCGTCCTTCGACGATCGCAAAGGAGCACTCTTGCACAGCATCAGCGGGGATTGAAGCTCGCGACGGTGCCGGTCTCGCTCTCGCGATCGCTATCGTTCTACCTGACGAAGACGACGAGAAGGTGGCCGGTCGGCGCTAATCAGCGTCGGTGTAACCGGTCCTGACTGACTTTTCGCGCGCCGGTCGGTTCCTCCTCGGCAACACCTGCTCCTCTTGCGAGCGAGGCACGCGGGAACGAAACGTCTCGAGAGACACGCTCTCGGCCGCCGCAAGCGGATCACCGGAGACCTGTCCGCGCACGATCGGGCACGTTTTACGGTGAAGGCTTCGACAGACTTCGAATCCGAGATGATCGTCGTCGAGAGATCGCGGAGTCGGTTTTTGTCCCGAAAACTTTCACGCGTATAATCGCGAGTTGCGCTTAAAGATCCGATCTCGAAAGGTCGATTCTGTCAGATCGTTCACTGGCATCTTTCTCGAATTTCGCAGCGAATAGAATGTCGAGCGATGTTACGAGAATAATGTTCAATAATATTTTCAGTGATATCGACCGCATCATTTTTTTTTTTAAGATTTAATTTCACGGTGAAACGGGGAATATCAAATTGGTGCGGAAAAGTTTGTCGTTTTTCTTTCGTCGAACCGTGTACTAAAATATCTGTGGAAAACAAAATAAATAAGATAAAAATAAAGTTGGAGCTTTTTGAAAGGGGGAGTGAAAAACTTTCTATCTAGAGGGGAAAAACGTATACACGGAAAGTGTATCAAATTTCTTCAATTTTGCTGAAATTTTGTTCCGACAAACTTGGAGATCAATTTGGTGTAACAAATAAATTTTATACATCTCGAATTTCGTAAATGCTCCAGATTAAAAGTACAGTGACGATCAGTGATGCGCCAATGGATGAGTAATGAATCAGTAATTTAACGCTATCGCGGACGTCAGGATTCTCTAAATTTAGCATTGCGTGGTGGTTTCGAACCCAGGAGGCTCGCGCGGCATAGGTGAAATTCCCGCGCTGCTTTCACGATTTTCCCCGCGCGATTTCCTCGTGCGAGACGTTCGTCCGGGTGTAAAGGGTTTCCCTGACGTCGCGACGTCTGTTGACCTCCCGGGAATTATCGGCGCGGCACAAATATTGGCGGATTGCATGAAAATAGATCGTGCGTCAGGATGCCGGCCGTGCGCACGTTTTCGCACACGCGGCGAAAACCAAATTAACCATCCACTTTCATTATTCTCGAAGGCAGAGAAGCCGGGGGTTCTTCGTCGTTTCATATGCCCGTCTGGCAACGTCTTGACACGAGGAGGATTTGCGCAACTTGTACGATCGCGGATTGTGAATGAGACGTCGTAATTTCACGCGGTAACTTCGGGCTAACGCTTTTTAGCAGTAGCCATGTCGTTTCGACAGGTCTTCTGATGCTGTTTCTTGCACAATAGCACGATTACAATGTACATGCTGTACAAATTCGCGGATATTTTTTTCTCGAGATAAATTGAGTTTATCAAAGTCAGCACAACTTGGGTTGCGGTGTAAAGAACTTGGAAGCTTATGGTGGGAATTGATTATGCATTACGCTTCACATACGAATGATTGTTGATTTAGAGTCATAACAAAAAATTATATATGAAACGGTCGGATGGCAAGTTACGTGTTTGCTTCACGATAGGCTGTTTTTTTTTCTCGAAGATACCTTCTTCGTATTAGCATTGTAAGAAAACGATAAGTCCACGTTTTACAGTTGAGTAACGCTGTTATCGGCGCGGCCGAGATAAGAGATAACGGCGTCGCGCGCTGTCTTCTTGGTCAGTTCTACTTCTCAAATTCGAGGAGCTTGTCGCGCGCTGCTCCTCGGGTGCGAGCGGAGACTTTTTACAGTTAGCCCGCCCGCGTGACAGCGATAGTGTGCGAAATCGCGGAAATATATATGTCGCGCGGACGTGATATCGTAGATTTTCCACCGCAACAGGTGGCTGACGTTGACCTGCGGCCGCGCGCCCTGGAGATTACCGCTCCGATGACAGTGATTCAGCAGTGATTAATCGCGGTGGAACCTCGTGTGTGTGTGTTTGTTGCTCAGTGCGAATCTTAATGACGAGACGTTAAAACGTTTGCCTGCCGATATATTAGGCTCGCACGACAAAACGTAATACGCTAAGACTATAGGAGACGAGACTGTCCGGTGCGAGGCCGTTTCAAGGATGTCGTTTATCGCAGTGGACAGAAAGAAGAGGAGATCGATTTCGTGCATCTCACTAACCAAAATGACCGGCTCTAAATGGACTTGCGTGGTACGTTTCCGCCGACGCGCGACGGTATCGGTTCTGGATTGACTCGGGATGGATCTTTTATTTACCTCTAAATAAAAGAAATAAGGGCCGGTTGTTCCAACCTGTTGGTAAGCTAACCAATAGTTAAATCAATGCCTATCTTTGTCTAATGTAAAGGATAAACAAAGACGTATATATGATCTAACTATTAGTTAGCTTACCCCAGGTTGGAACAACCGACCCTGACTTTGGACTCTCGAAAATGAACCAGCAAATCGTGGTGATGAAAGGACTATGAGAGTAACAACGCGGTTGTTAGTGCGAGACTTTTCAGATTAACTGATTTCTTTCAAATCTTAACCATATAACGTTCCAGACGTTTCAGCTCCACCCTGAGTCATCTCCTCAACGGTATAAAAATTAAAATTAAAACCGTTGAAAATGGCTCAATGTGGAGCCGAGACGTTATATGGTGGAAATTTGAAATAAATCAGTTAATTTGAAAAATATCACGCACCAACAACCGCGTTGTAGCCCTGTACTCAACTCTCATAGCCTTTCGTCACCATTTTAACGCAAAAGTCAAGTGCAAACTCGCGGCCTCCGATTTACTCGCGATTCAAAGACGCGGTTGCACGTTGCACGTTGCTCGAAGTAGGTCACTAACACGTCCGTTAGAAGTTTGATCGAATACCCTTGGACGTTTCCACGGGCGAAGCAATTGTGTATCGCCACGCGAATTGACAACTAACCGACGCGACGTCCATTCATCACAATGGATGATGCTGTTTCGATGCCCGGCATTCGATGCGAGGGGAGAGACCGCGGGAGACCGATACTTTCTCCTGCGTGTGTTGTGTTTACCTAGCTTCTATATCCGTATCTCACGAGTAGGCCACACGGCGGTATATACATCTGTATACGCGCCAGACGATTTCCGGTTAAGAGATAGGTATATTTCGCGGTGTGTTTCCCTTCGGCCCGACGGATACTCCCCGATCGTCGATATTTATACGGTGCAATTTCCGCCCGGTGTTATCTTAACCCGAACGCTAACGCGAGAGATCACACATTGCGATTATTATTATTACTATGAAGATTAACGCGGGCTCTCGCGCATAATACCAAAAGATTATATACGTACGGTATATGCGCGGAAACGAGCGCGATGTCGATTATTAATTGATACGAATCTCTTGGCACACGAGGATGAAAAGAAGTGATTAAATACAGATATAGTGCTTCGCTCATGTCTCGTATATAAAAGTGGAAATTACTGTATAGAGCAAAAAGAGCAAAAGGAAGAACTCACGTTTTAATTAGAAAGAGAGAGTTTAATTAGAGATTGATTAATCGTCCGACGAACTGCCCGTCGTTATTGCGCGTTCTTTCGCCCAAGCTCGATCGCTGCGTGCACCTCGATCGTCAATAATCAGGATCGAACTTTGTATCTGTTTCAGGGCGATTACATCAGGCACCCAGTTCTTTACGAACTGTCGAGCAAGTATGGAGTGGCCGGCAGTGACCAGGTGCCCTTGCCGGCTCGTCTCGACGTGCTGCGAGAGCACATACGCCGAGAAATACGCAAGGTACGTCGAGTTTCGCTTATCCTTCGTCGTCGACTGCAGTTTCTGCGAAGCTCGGGGCTTTTTTCGTCTGTGTATACACACGGTAGCACGGTCAGCACTCTGCGTCTCCTTCGTTATCTCCCTCTGGCCTGTACCGTCTCTCTTTTCCTCTCCAGCAATAATCAGCCTAATGCGTCTCTTTTTTTATCTCGATGCGTAGAAATTAATCTCTCCTTGCTCGCCTACCTTAACGTTCTCGAGTAATAAATCTCTTACGATAGTAGACGAGGGTATCTATTGCAGTGGTAGAAATATTAATTGCATCCTTATATGAGGCTAATTTAAGCCGATTCCATAATCTCGGAAATTTGCAATTGCAATTGCATCTCCGATCAACTCAAAAAGATTACGAGACCGTGACGAGTATTTACTGATCGTGCGCGATTATATTTTTTCGCGTATACCTATATCTGCCTTAATTATCCGACAACTCGGTAATAAGCGATCGATGATCTATGGTTGCCGGATGCGTCGGACGTTCACGTTCTATATCACGTTGCGAATGGAAACTTGAGGGTGGTCCGAACATTTCTGCAACTCGCGCAAAAACAAGTTTTGCTGTATGACAGCGCGTCCCTCTCTTTTTTTTCTCTTTTAATCTTTCTCTTGTTTTACCTTTCTGTACTTACTAAGCGCCTTTACAAAACTCTCGTCTGACTGCTACCTATCGCTAATAGATCCATTGCGAAACAAAGCTGCGTGTAATAGTATATAATACGATAGGTTTCTTAACGCGGCACATTTTCATAAACGCTTGTTACCGGAGCATTCGCTGCAAGCTGTGAGTCAACTGCGCCGCAGAATGGATGCATGCATATCGTCTCGGAAGCCAAGACCGTTTATTTTAAATGAACCATTCCTTAATTCTTCATTCAATAAGCATCTTTTTTTAACGATTGTTTTTTATTTAATGTTTGACGTGATGTATGTTGTTGGACCAATCGTTCTTCACATACCAACTAGTGCCCTAGATCAGAAAATAAAAATACGTCGAATGACTCATTGCGAAAATTCGCGGCCACTATGCATTAATGTTCGATAATAGAATATCAAAGAGTATCATTGGGCACGTGTGTGATTTTACGTCTCATTTGCCGTACGGGGGAGCGGCACGATTGAGCGATTAAATGTATGCAGTTAAATTCCTGGCGGTACAGGACGCTAGTTTTCGATTGAAATGAGAGCGCGATTGCGATAATTGTTCCGATGTACAATTATTAATTTTGCCGCTTTTTCGTTCGCAGGAGCTGAAGATAAAGGCCGGTGCGGAGAAGTTGAGGGAGGTCGCGACCGATCGCAAGTCGCTCTCGGATGTCGCGACGATTGTGAAGAAGGCGAACAGCAAGCTAAACGAGCTCCAGGCGGAGCTCCAGCAGCTCGAGAGTCAAATTATACTGACGCAGGGCCAACCTCAATCGCCGCAGCAGAATCACTCCAATGGTCAAGGTTGGTAAAGCGAAGCCGCACGCGGCCGCTATGCGATACCATCTTCGTGTTCGCCTTATGATATTCTCCGCGTAGCATTGACCGAGCGAGAATAAAGCGGTCCGCTACGCGCTCCTAAACGGGTTTTATGTAACGAGCGCGTCGCGCGTCAGACGCAATATCGGTACAAGCACTAAAGATCCTCGATATCGGGACACTCGTGGAAAACAGGTTAATATAAGCAAAGAGAAATCGGCGTTTCTTACATCTAACATCCGTCGCGCGATGGTTTAACAAGCATTATTACATGAGTCATCGTAGAAGATAGACGATTACAAGCAATTAAAGCGCGCGGGATATTAATAATCGGAGTGCCTGATAACCATCGAGCCGATTACTCGAGCGAGGCTTTTTCACCACCAAGTTTCACGAAAGTACTCCCGTTAAATTTTACGATAATTTCACGTTTATTTGCACGCGGCGATTATTGCCCCGCTTATTCATTGGTTTTACGTATCGATGCATTGCGATAATAGTTAATGTTCCGGTATGTCAGCTCCCTACCGCGTTAACGATTGTTCCGTGTCGTTAACGAGGGGGCACTTAATAACTCCACCCGTTAACGAAGCGTCGAGACGACGTCTTCGGGTTTATAAAGCTCGTCTGAGAGCATATCAGGCTAGGCTGCTAGCCTTACGTCGCCATTAGCGCTGACAAATCGAGCGTATCTCTTTAACGCAGTGACGTTTCTGACTCATCGGTCAATATACATATCACTGTGCATTAGATATGTATCTAAACGCTCAATTGGATAAATATAGCGAAAGACGTGTCAATATTGAATCTAAATATCCAAGTTAAAAAAGCGCGATCGATGAGATAAATGCAGCGAGGGGTATATTTATTCTGTTCACTGCTGATCGATTGACTAGCGATGGAAGACAATACATTCCAAAATAATGGTGCTATTGGTGCCGTTAACACTGTCGTTCTTCCGTGATATTGGGTTTATGCGCTAGCTGCACACCTTCGTGTCGTGTACGATTCGATCTAGCTCCTATGTATCCTCCTATGCGATGCTTAAAACGGCATTCAATTCCACGGGTTACTGCAGTTTTGACGAGACGACAAAGAGACGACGGTTATCGCTTTCACGTCTCTGTGTCTCAAAGCTACTCTGCCTCGGCTCAAAATCTCTCTCTGTTCATTCCGCAGAACAATTAGGAACGATTAACAGAATTTTTTGTAATCAGAGATCGTTGTCTTCTCTCGGTATTGACAGTATCGCGTTTCACATTCCGCGAGTCTGCCTAAATTGATAACTGAAATTCAATAGTCGCATTGTTTTCTTTTGCGCTGTTGCATTTGGTTGAATGCTCGAGATATAAACATCACCTGCATGTTTTCAGACGGAGGAATTGATTCGAAGGAGAAAAATTGTTCGTTCGTATGTGACGTTGAGTCCGTAATTAGTATAGCGGAGTTATACGATCATCGAGATGATCATATAACGCAATTAATAGGCTACTCTAGTACGTTACACCCGGGCAAAACATCGTTTGATTCTTGAAGAGCATTTTTTCGTTGTATTACGAGTGGCCACTTCGTTATGCGCTGCGTGATACGTTGTACAGAGGAACTACAGTCTTGCACTCGCTCTGAATTGACGGTAAGTGGTATAGCGGCTATTTATACCTTGGACCCCGAGACGCTCTCTATCCATTCCAGTTAAGTCAGTCATCATCATACTTGGTTTCTAGCAACCTGCCTCGGGGGTGCTCCATTCAGTTTCCCTTAGTACGATGGGGGACGCGCCATTCAGTGTGCGATCCCGAAATTTCTGCATTGAGAGTGTTTTTCTCAAGTCATTATTATAGATATTAAAGACCCCAATAACTCTGAGAAACTGATGAAGAAAAGATCATCCAAATTCGTCAAGAAGTAAAGTCTTTTTCCCTGGATCGCATCCCTGTCTACGATAGATAATGATTCTCAAGTTTACTAAAAAAAAATGACTGATCCAATCGATTCAGCGCTTGGCGGTACAGTTTCGAGATCGAGGAGAAAGTTCACGCTCTTCTCTCCTTCTCGGTATCTCGCGAGGATGGCGAGCGGTGCGAGGCAGACGACGACGACGACGACGACAATGTTCGTTCACTTTCCAGCTCTGCCGAGACACGCGCTCTCCTGCTGCGTGCAATGGCGAAAACCTTCCTGTACAAACGTACACACATACGCAGACGCGTGTACGACGCGAGACGATCGAGAGCGCATTACGAAGAGAGGCGATCGGGATCGAGCGATCGCGCGGGGTACCGTTACGCGTGCGTACATAGGCCCCGAAGCTCTCCCGGCCACCCGACCACCTCGTGCTGCTCCTCTCTGTATATCGAGATCGCGTTACGGCCAAACCGAACCCACGCTTTCGCATTCCATCGTCGGCGCTCTCGGGGGAAGCCCTCTTCTCCGATTCTCCTTCCTTCGTCCGTCTGCCTGCCTGACCGGCCAGCCGGTCGGCCGGGCCCGATCTTTGTGGATTACCTGTCCGGGCCTTTCCTCCGGGCCTGATTTAAGATCCCATGACAGCCGAAAAATCGCGTCCACGCGCGCCAGAGGCATAAAACTCTGCGAAATTCCGCGAAGAAATGATCAAGACGGGGATTATTTCATCTTTACTCGTAAGCTTATACTTAAAAGTCTATTGTAAAAACTGCAGCGGATTGGCGAATCGCTAAGAAATGAAAGTATATATTATAAAAACGTAAACGTGTGTTCTACAATCGCGCTAGCAATTGGTATAGTTCGCTTTAATTATCAGTTATCTTCCCGGTGGGGAAATCCCCGATGAATCACGATACGCCTGGCGCTGTTCGGTCGCGAAAATTCCGCTAGATTTTATGAGCCGAGTTAATTATAAAGCTTATTGACCGCAGGATACCATGCATGAATTTATGAAGTGCATTTTATCGAACGTGCAACGTTCGTAACACAGTAACGGTATAGGGGCCAGGCATTTACGAGTTAATAAATTTTAAGTGGCCGCGCGCATTGGGTTCGTAACTAAATAAGTCACTCAGGTTGCCGGTTCGAATAAGCGCCGGAAATACCGCATGCCGCAAGACATATCATCGTGCAATGTTAGAATTTTTATGTTCGCGACTGAAATATTTGTGGCTCCCGAGAAATCGTATTCCTGAGTTATTCATCGGTGACGTAACGATAACGCAAGAATTGCTGGGAACATGTTTAATTTATAAGAATATTACACACACAAAGTACACTTGTACCGTTAAAATCGGACGTTTCGTATGTAACTTAAGTACATAATACTTAAGTAGCTATATTAATATAGCAGACCCAATATAGTTCCGTAACATAAAACCTGCCCCTCCGGACGTACGTAATACCGTATTGCACAGCAGTATAGCGCATTGCGCTTCCGTATAACTGGAGCGGCGAATGTATCGGGTTCGTTATCAGACCTCATCAGCGCTCGTAAAACTTCTTAATTGATCGGAGAGGCGGGTGTTCCCTTTTCGCCGAACGACTCTCTCAGTACACCTTTCGCGATCTTTATTACATATGCAGACATCGCGTTTACGATCTTAATATTTGTTCTCGTCGACGTGCGAAGATGTCCGCCTGCGATATGTTATATTTAATTATTTCGTATCAGAGGTGTATTGGAAGTCGCGATATCATCATTAAGATCTAAAATCTAAAAATTAAAATCTAAAAACATCTCAGAATTTCATTTTCTCTGATCCACGTGATACGTGATTCCGAGAGACGTTATCGCTACAAATCTGGCGATATATCTACTGCGGGAAAACTGGTGCTCGAGATTATGGGCGAACAGATTAGATCGATAAGCCTCATGCAATACAAATGTCTTGTAACTCGTCCTATCCGTCATATATAATGTATCAGTGCTGTCTAACGCAAGTAACACCCGACTCTCCTCACCGTGCTCGCGTGCGATACGTTCACCATGGATGGCAATTGACGCCTACGATCATTCAATGATTGCGGATAATCGATAGGTTCCGGTAGCCCATGTCAAGGGTATGAAGCGCTCGCGACGAGTCGTAGTCTTGTTCTCGCAAATAATTATCTAATTCATCTTCGTACAGTCTCTCGGGAAATTGTGCGTCGCGGCTGCGTGTGCAGTCGTTGTGGCCGGCGTCGCGTCGTGTTACTCGATTTTAAGTGATTTTCGCTGGCATAACTGCCGCTACATTATTGCTTTTTTAACGCTGCACTTTCTATCGGACCGGTCCCGCGATTTTCTCGATCGGCGCAACCAACCGGTGGCTCTATACTAATAACTTAACTGCTACTTTGCCGAGCGCCCGGGGTTACTCGTCGTAGGTTTTTCGAGGCGTATGCTAATTTCTCGGTACGCTTTTGCCGTTTATGCTAATCAGCGCCTCGGGCGTGTTTATGGCAAAGTTTGCCTGATACACGATAAAAAACTGCACTGCCTGCACCAAAGGTTACCTAGCCATCGGAGTATTTTTTTTTTTAAGACATTACAAGGTGTTAAATCTTACATTCTGCCTGCATTGTGTACTATCTTGAAATATGATTATTATCGAGGATGTCTTCGACTCGATCGTTATTTAAAAAAAAGAAGAGAAAAATATTCATCAATTTTCTATGAATATCGTAATTATTGTAACTTAAATCTTGAGGGACAATATGTCATCTTATGATCTTCGAAAAGATCCTCTTTTCACAATTTCAATAGAAATCTGATCTCCCCAAGAAATTCTAGAGTTTGCGATATACGTTCTCGAGAAGCTCTGATGAATTAAGTGTAAAAAATAAAAATCCGAAGATACGGAGTAAATATTGCAGTTTTATTAGACAGAAATTGGTAATAATTCTTTTCAATTGAGATTGCGAGTTAGAGTCGTGATGCTCTTTAATAAAGCTCTCGAGACGTTATCTGGAACTCTTGAGAAGACTGTCAGATATCCGAGAAAAATATTTTAGCCATGGAAAAACTTCACAGAGATCGTGTTGCGTCCACTTGACGCAAGCGTTTGTTATGACGAGATGCTAGAAGTTCGCATATGTATGCGACTCTCGATGTCGATGCTGGCTTAGATGTATAAATAAAGCGCTTCGCACTCTCGCCTCTTGCAAAGTTACGGTAATTATTTTAATCAATGCCGTAATAAGGATGTTGCCGACAACCATCGCACACGAACAATCGCTTCTTACATGCATTAACGAACTGCACAAGAGCTCTCTCCCTCCGCGATGCGTTCATGCTTTATGAACGTATCGCTAACTCACGCTCGTGTAGATGGAACAGCTTCGACGCGAGCAGAGTTATGAATGGAATGGAGATACGACAAAACCGGCACGCATCGCGCGATGGCATTAATGCATATCGCGGTTGCGTGTACAGCCACCGAGGAATTACCGTGTGTAATTTCTGTCTATTCTTCTCGAGAGATTATTACCCGAATTTTTGGTCTGCGGCTTTCCATATTAAGGCCTAAAAAAAATTGAGAATTTTAAAATGCTTTTTAACATATTTTTTGAGATTCGTGGAATATTAAATGTCTTTTCACATCTACGCGCACAAGACCGGCAGAGCATCTGGTTGCATATCGCCTCGATACGTTTTGCATAACCACCTCGCGTGGTCGCTGCGCTGTCCTTTTCTCCTTTCGCTGCGAGCAAAAGGCAGAGAGCAATTATCCTCTCTTCCAGAGCACACGCACTCTCCCTACCGAAAGGGTTGCGTGCGCCGCGCCCGCCCGACGAGTTCATTGAACCGGCGAGAGTGGCTGCGAATAGCTGCAGCCACTTTGCACGCTCTGCGCAACCACCCTTCCATTTTTTCCTCTATCTTTTTTTTCTCTCAAATGCTCGCGTAACCTCTCGGTCTGTTTCTCGGCGAAAGGATACCGAAAAAGGGGGGAAAAAGGCGAGGATTCGAGAGAGGAACGAGAAACGAGGACAAGCGGAAGGGCGCTCAGGAAGGGTGGGTGGATGGGTGCAGTTGGCGGTATCAAAAACAAGGAAAGCCTTTGTCAGCCGGGTCTCCCCGTGCGGCGGCGGGCAAGAGCAGAAGCGCGGAATATAATGGGGCACGTGTTCGGCCGAGCTGCGCTAATGACACGGTTTCGCGGAGCTCTCGATGCCGCATTGTCCCCGCAAACTCTTTTATGCCGCCTCCGTCTCCGCCGTCGTTTTCGCCGTATTGTGAAACGGCTGGTACGTGTTTGCATTCGCGCGGACTTGGCTCTCCGTTATATCTCTGCCTGTGCGCGATCCCCGGGAATAATAGCCGTCCCCGCGATTGTCCGAGAGGTCGATGAAGTCGCCGGGAATCGATAAGATCTACCTTATGCAAAGAATTAATTAAATTCTTTAGCCATAGAATTAAATCTCTGCCTATTGGATTCTTTCCTGACAAATGTACCCTAGCTGTGAAAAAAATGTCTGCTATTAAATGTAAAACGTGTCGAAATAATATCGGAAAACAATGTTCTCCCGTACAACCGATTTCAGTTTTGTCTAATTTAACATATTTGCACAACTTCCCGGAATATTTGCGATCCTTCCATGCTGAAAGAGCATAAATAATATTGCAAATTATCACAGATGCTTAACGCTTTCGCCGACCGTTTAGACTCTTTAGACATTTACGCATATCCTGAGGTCTAAGCCGACGATTAGCATACATTTTCGGTGGTACAGCATATTTGAGGTATCGCGTGAAAAATCGCGCATCTGCTCGCTCCCTCGCATCGCCTTATTCGGACACGTCGAACGTACTCGTGTGCATAGACGGTGTGTGAGCGTGTCCGTCCGCGTTCGCCCATTTGCGTTGAACGGGCACTACGCGTCGTTTATCGCGATGTGCGTGCGTGCGTACGCGCGCACAGGGAAATCGCGGAACCGTGGAACCGTGCACGTGTTTACGGTAACTTCCCGTGCGCCCGGGCACGGGTGCATACACAGTAAAAAATTTTGTGTACCAAATGTCAATGAAAGTCCACTCTAAATTTTGTGTTAAAATAACTCACTCATCGCGTTACTTGTTGACATTTAGAAATTTTATATCAACATTTTTTACAAGTTATTTTTACATTATTGTAAACATACATTGTAAAAAATGTCGATATAACATTTCTAAATGTCAACAAGTAACACGATAAATGAGTTATTTTAACACAAAATTTAGAGTGGACTTTCATTAACATTAAATTTTTTACTGTGTAATAGGCATATTTCGATGGAGGAAAGGGTGCCCCACATCGCAGCATTAACGAGCTAAATTCGTGCGCCAGTCATGCACGATGCAACAGTGTGCGGTCGAACAACGGACCGACGTAAATCTCCTCGAAAATCGCATGGTTGGCTTTGAAATAACGATGTATATTAGAGTAAAATAAACCGTCCGTAGAATTGACTTTTTTAAAAACGTATTTACTAAAGGCCCATTAATTCACATCGCAAGAGGATGCATTTATACGTGTTCGAGCGGTTTGCATTACGCAAGCAATTATTAATATATATCCTTGAGGAGATTCGCTATTAGGGAGACGTCAGACCGCGTCCGCGCCGTTAAAATATATATGAAATATACGAAATAATAAAGGATAACGCGATATGATTACGTAAGGTACATTGATTAATGTAATTGTTGGAGTTGGAAGTTCCGGCGGGCACGGAAATAACGCTTGTAATTATGACTTGCGTTTCCCACACCGTTCCGGTACGAATTACATGTACGCGGGTATTTTATTCGTACGCATCGTAATATTACTACATTGTGTATGCATTATTGTATTATTAGTATAAATTGTGGTCGCGAGTCTATTCGCGTATACGTGTAGCGATTCCGCAGCGCGCGCTGGCTTTGCGAGAAAGCATCTGACGCAATTGTCGGATAATCCCCGTTGTATCTCGAAAGACGTTTATGATGATAGACAGGCAGAATAAACGCGGTGAAAAGGAAGCGATGGGAAATTCATAACGGCGCGTTCCTGAAACAAAGCGGGACATCACTTTTTTTTCCACACTCCCCCATATACTTGGCTTGAATACGTGGGAGTCAGGGCGTTTTCAGCGTGTCAGCACTAGGTGATGGAAAGTAGGATCTACAAGCGCGCCGTACGATCTCTCGCTTGTCAAATCAAATGGAGATTGCCAGACGTGGAAAAAAAAAACATCACGTGTAAGACGGCGATTGCTTAGGCTAACGTGGAAAATCCGAACACGAAGAGAGATACCCGCGGGCTAAAGAAAGCGTGTCCGAATCGCGCATGGAACGTCTAGTAAACATATATATTCTTTTAATGACGCACTTGATACGTTCTCGCGTCATAGAGTGCTCCGTTTCATCGAGAGATATCTCGTTTACCGTTTAATATCGGTATCGCCGATACATTATTAAGTCATATCGGATTCTTTCATTTCGTGAACGTTTCTATTTTTGTTTCAGACACGCCTCTATCACCGATGGGGCCTTCGTCGCCGAGTCAGGAAGGTCTATTCACGGATCTTCGGCTTCTGTCCTTGGAGAAGCAGCTCAATATCGAACTGAAGGTAGAATCCGCCTGTTAAAGAGACTATTGAATTACACACATTTCAAAATAACAAGCAGACAATCGCGATATCCGCGAACACGGATGACATTCACGTGATATCGAATTGTCACGCTATCATTTTTAGCAACAGTTGTCGCGATATCGGAGAATATCGATAACGAATGTCCTCTTCAGTAATAATTATATATCCCGGTACTTGATAATGTAGATTCAGAATATAAATTCTCGCAGAGTCATGTACAACGTTTTCCGAGTGATTACGCAGAACTTCGGTAGTTCTCTTTCACTTTTCTTGTATCAGCCTCGCGTGAGTCAGCGCAGTGAGTCGCTCGCAGTTTTTCTCCTACTAAAAATAATCTCTCGTTACATCACGCGGGGATTTGAAGTAATTAGACTAACGCGCCTGGACTCCTTGCAGTTATTACTTGTTAATGCAGCAGAAGCGTTAATTGTCTGCAATTATACCTTCCTCCTCCTCCTTTCGCTTTTTGATAAAATGGTTGGTTTTTTTTTTTTACATACACTGGATGCGTCAAATCGAGGAGAGAACTTTCAATAGTGTATAGTAGAATTTTAATAAAATAATACATGTAAAACGTCATCTCATTCGTTTTATATCACAATAGGTCAAGCAGGGTGCTGAAAACATGATACAGAGTTTAACGAGTGGCCATCGCGACAAAAAACTGCTACAGGAGGCTCAACAAATGCTAGATGATTCCCGCGCCAAAATCGAGTTCCTACGTATGCGGATTATGAAGGTGCGCCAGGCACGGCAGCAGCAACAACGAGGCGATGCGCCACCACCGAACGGCGAAACAGCTAGCAACAAAGGTATACATGTCGGTTGTTATTAATAACAATTTGTGTATACAAACCGAACTACAGAGAAAGAAAATAATTGAAAGAATATTCCAAAATATTTTTCTATAAGTAAAATAATCGATTCTCGTATATTGATTGTAACAAACTTAAAGAGTTGTACTAGCATAAATTTGCGATATTACACGCGCAGATTAAGGATCTCTGGCTAACACGCTGCGCTTATTTAAATATTGATACACGCTATCAGAAAGTTCCGCTAAATTCTGTCGAACATACATGCGTATCGTCAGGTTTATCGTTGTAATTGTTTGAACAATCACAGTTAAGCTGTATACATTTCATTGTTAACGTTGAAGTTTACGGAATGAAGACAGTGAGCTGACATTTACTGCGGTAATGAAACCGTTTCAGAACACGGTATACATTCGTATCTCACCCAGGAATTTCTGCCGAGTATTCAGTATAAAAGTACAATGTTGCGTAGTGTGTTTTATTGTAGTAAATGGCGTTTCTTGGAAGGAAGCGCTTTGTTCGTCGAAGGATATATTCGTTACGCGTGTAATGGTTTACTTTTTCTCGCTATAAAGCGTGGGTGGATATACGTTACGTAAGAAGATAATCATGCACCGTTGATAAATGAAAGCTCTGTAATGTAATGTTTAGCGTTGCGAGTGTGATATTTTTGTTGAATGTAACGCGAACAATAAATGTAATGCTTTTACAGACAGGTACGAGCCTAGCTTGGAGCTCGCGTTGGAGGAAAGGGTGGAAGAGCTGCGGCATCGATTACGAATAGAGGCAGCTGTCGTGGAAGGTGCCAAGAACGTGATACGTCTTCTACAAAGTGCCAAAGTCGCTGATAAGAAGGCCTTAACCGAGGTAGGTCATTTCTTCTTTAATTCGTTATCTGTCAACGTAGAAACGGAAGTCTGCGCATGACACGCAATCTGCGAAAGGCACTTTGTATGTGTAGCTTTAAAGGAAGCTATTTACGTCACTTCGCCGACAGAACTGTTTCGAAATGATAATAACGAGGAAATTGTCCGACTTCATCTTTCTCGGTGAAAATATAAAATGCGCAGACAATTTCCGTTTCTAGTGCAACAAGACGAATTTTTTTTCCTTTAAATTAGCAAACGCAATATATAAGAATATCCTATTGCCAATCAAAAGTTTTTATTTTTTTTAATTAAACGGATCGTGTTTTCTATAAAATTGTTGGGCTGTTATAAGTTGATTGATTAAGAACGCGTTTTCTGTAAATCGGCCAATTTATAACAGTTCTCACGAATTAGCGTTGGAGTCTGAGCGAACGGTAATGTGATTTCGGCGAGGGCGTCCGCTGCGCCGATACGAAAACGACTTCTTGTCGACAGCCGGATCGCGCGGGCGACGTCGGCGGCGTAATGCATGTCGACGTGGACCCCGGAGGGTCGGTGGCGGCGTATACGCGCCTCTCTCAAAATAGCTCTTCGAATACCCGCGCTACCCCGCCGTTTCTCGTGACGCCTTTTCGGGTCGCGCTTAGTTACCGTCTCTCGAGGAGAACTGGCATCACCCAGTATCGTAAGCACCGCGATAAACCGACGACATGTGCACCGGCCGACTGCGAAGGAGGCGCCCGTGGAATGTATACGTCCGTCAAGTGGACATTCAAGAAGATATCGACCACGCATTCGGATAATCGTGGCTGTTAATTATGATTTGAACCCGAAGACTGACACGAAGCCGCCCAATGATCGTAGCCCGTTCGGAGTTGCTCCGTCGCTCTCTTCTCGAACGCTGCGCTCCAAAGAAGACTGACGTCTGCTTCAGAATCGATTTAAGCTGTCAGGATACTTGTATACTAACTGGACGCTCAAACGTTTCTGATCGAGCCATAAACAATCCGTTACTTAGCGGAAGTTTGAATTTTGTTTGATTCTTGGATGCTTGGATGTGTGCGAGTCACTCAGAGATAATTGATCCGCCTTTTAGATTGTGCTAAATAATTTCACGCTCACGTAAGATATCCGTGTTTCGAATATTCTCGACTACCGGCGATTATCGAGACTGAATAGTCTACAACTGTAATTGAAATTTTTCAAGCAACTCGATACCGATTTTTGTATCATAATGTATCTCGCCTGACTGTGCATTATTATTGCACACAATTATTGCATCGATGACTGTCGAGCGTATGAAAAATGCCTTATTTCAAATTATATTCTTAGAGCGACTGTACATTGCTCCAAATTTATATTGTGCTAATTATACACATTTCGCTATATTGCTCAGTTTATTGCCTTACGAGAGATGAAAACTGCGGTGGTTGCAACAATCGCAGAAGTATTGTGTAATATGCAACGATGAAATCACACATTATAACTGTTTCACGTTCGTACAAGAAAAATATTGATTATGTACAGAAATGGAATGCAAAGCGACGATCACTGTATCACGTCGAAGTTGAATCTTCTTCAGGTATCGGCGCTAAAATTTTGCGCCGTTAAGGCGGAAAGAAACGCACTCGGATAGTTCTCGAACACACGGGAACCCGAAAATAGATCAGTGGCGATGCAATACCGCAGTATTACCATCCTTCCGGGAAAAACTGCGCCACGGACGAGATCGTGAAGCACGAGCGGCTCAACTCTTAAATAGACATTATTATATAAGATTACTTTTCAACATTACGGAACATTACGGAATCGGATGAGGAATTAGATGAACGATCGCGGGTGTTGCACGTAATCGCCGGCATTTTGTGTACGTTCGAACAGAGAGACTTCAAATCCATGAACAGAAGAAGGATAGGGACGAGAGAACCGCATCATCGTCGCTTCGGTACGGAGGAGGAGAGGACAGATCGCTCGGAAGTGTTCTCCTGCCAGCAGAGCCGATTGGATAACAATAATGTCGTGCGGTGGATGAAGGCGCGGCGGAGGTTGAGGGGGAAGAGAGGCGCGAGATGTACGGACGTCAGGATAATTCGGGCGACGGTAGCTCGAGCCAGGTGCCACCGTGGCTCGTGCGCGCCGAAGTCACGATTCGCCACGGCGACGCGGTGACCTCCGAGACCGTGCGAATGCCTCCGGGTACCACCACCACTACTGATGCGGGCGGCATCCGCATGATATGCCGTTGGAACACGAGCGAGCCCAACTCGACGTCGACGCCGACGCCGACTACGTCCAATGCGTTCCTGTCGGGTAGTACCGCCGGCGGCTTCGGCTTTCAACGGGGCAATATACTTTTCACGTCCACACCTCCCGAGAGACCGTCTCAGAAGTCATCAAGCGGGTCATACACTCTGCCTCGTTCGGGCTCGTCTGGCAATGACGACTCCATCTCGTCCAGAGGCCGAGCGAACGTTTCCGATTCCGGCTACAACAGCGAACAGTTCTCATCGCATACGTATTCGACTTTGCCTGCACGACTCTCGTCCCAAGAGTACAATCGTCGATGTAAGAGCACGTGCAGAATCGTGCTTTCCACCGCGGGCGCGGATAAACTGAATTCCGAGAAAGCCACGTCCGCCGAATTCTCGAAGATCACCCCGTCCGTCGATCAGTGGCACCGTCGACCCTCGCACCAACACATCTTTTCGCGCCATCAATTCAGCACGGTCCCGGAGGTCTGCGAGGATTGTGCGGAAGGAAGCGCGTCGAGTGCCTTCACCACGCACTTTTGTACTCGCGTCGCGGAAAAGACTACGAATAGTAGCAGGTCCACCGCGATAAGCAAGGACGCGGCATCGCAAACCACCGACATTGAATCGGTCCGCTCGTCGTCGACTGTGAACAGCAGCAGAATTCGGAGGAAATCTGGCACTGGTGCTTACCAACGTAGCGAGCAGAAACAGGAGGTGAGTCATCATTATGGATTCTGCAATATGTAGTAAACGTATGCAACAGAGTATTCACTATGAACGCGACGGTCGTCTTCTTCCAGCAGGAAATCAGATCGCCCCCGGCGTCAACTGAGAATACCAGTACCGGTCCTCCGGCTGATCCAGAGAAATCGGACTCATCCGCAAAAGAAGACAGCAGTAAACGCAAGTCGCGGACGGTACATATTGACGTGTACTGTACAGGATCCGATGACGACGTCAGCACAGATACGATCAGCGAGGATGAACGCAGCACGCCCATGACCGTCTTCGAGAACGAGAACGTCAAAGTCACTCACACTCAAGCGACGGACGACTTGCCACGAGGATTCCAAGACGCAAACGCATTTCTGAAGCGTAGCGCCGAACGACGATGCGCGAGTTTCAGAAACGCGCCGATGAGGATGCCTTCGTTGGCCAGCTCGAAGGGATACGACAGCGACGAGGTTTTGAGTTCCCTTTACCCCTCGCGATTCAGCTCATACAGCGGGATACGGGACCTCGATTCCGTTCCATGGTCCGCGGTGTCATCCAGCACGGCTCTTTCACCATGCGATTATGATTCAACCATGACGTCGTCGAAGGACACATTTTCCGATATTGAGTCTCTGATCAATAATAAATCTGGCTTAACGCCTTGCGACAGCTTTGAATATGCTAATGTCACGGATCGTGATAGAATACGGAAAATGGATATTTTGGCGAAAGCTGGTAATGAAAGAAACAAAACCTGGCGATCGCCGCAAATTGAACGGAAGCATCTGCTACAGAACAGAAAGATGAGAGAATACTTCAAGAAACACGAGATAACGTGGTCGTCCGGGGAGAGTGCCGAGGATTCCGACGAGAGCGGAGCAGTCGGTTGGAGTTTTGTATCCGGCGATGACAAATCACGATTTGTTAAAAGAGATTCGATCGTCCGACGTACGAGCAAGGGTCAAATAGAGGAATTTAACGCGACTAATTTAAGCTCGGAGCATAGAAATGCTCAAGAGGAATGTTCTCAGTTTGCGACACGCAGAGATTACGTTCCATATACGAATGTTTTACGCGATCGTATCGGTCCGTTCGGATCGAAGAGCCCGTCTCCCCTTCCTTCGACCATACCCTCCCGCGTAACGTCTCCCTTCACTACACCGTATGGAGAAAAAACTGATCATATCGTAAAAGCCTCAAAATTTGGAGCAGTAATCAATGCGTTTCGAAAACCTGGACATCACATAGGCCCCTCGAAAAATCCGACTTGTTCGTGCGAGCATTGTCGAAGCTACTTCGAGGACGGAGCGAGAGGACGGTCCTCTTCGTTGAGCGAACTTGAACGTCATCCAGCATTCAAATCGCGAAAAGAGTGACACCTGATTTCATTAGCTTTTGAGGATTTTAAACATATTAATTCTTTTTTAGTTTTTACAAGACGACAAACGCTTTCCACTTTATTTATGTTGTAAGATTGTATGCGTAAAAGAATTGCGTTCCACTGCAATCATGGCGATTGAGGATAATGTAAACTTGTATATTGTGATTTGTGTGCTTTAATTTATATTTCTTAAAGTATTCCATATATATTCTATATACGTATAGCTTTTTTATCTAAATTAATTATTATGAGGGCTGCTACATTCTGCTGAAAATTGAGCATTTATAAAAATTAACAAAGATGTATTATATTGATTGCATCGTCAATAAATATTATGTCGAATATTGTTTGTGTGTCTACATATATGTATAATCCCTTGTTTACGTAAAATTAGTATTAAAACCTCTTATCTCTTAATCGCAATATCTTTTGTTACATAAATCATTAATCAGTAATCATAAATTACTACAGGCTCAAGCAAGCCTCGCGGAATCCAGTAGAAAATTGGACTTACTCAGATTGTCCCTTGAGCTCAGAAGACAAGAGCTACCTCCCGACAGCGGTACTGCAGCTCAGTTAAAGAGAGAATTAGCTAGCGTACAGTCGGCTAGTCCAGTTCCTGTTACGTATACATCATTACAACCGTTTCGCGGTCCTTTGGAAGGTAAAGCCACTGTACCAGCTTCAGTATCGAGATGCGCCGCTGTTACAGGACAATTAGAGGTATGTCGAAGACTGTGCAACCAAGTGACCGACAGTATTATTTCTGTTGTATTATATGCCGTAATTTGTTTAGGTAAGATTAATGGGTTGTCAAGACTTAGCAGAAGAAGTGCCTGGCCGTACGAGGAGGGAACATCCTGCTAGTCCTGATTTACGTAGCTTCGTTAAAGGTGTCACAGGGCGCAGCTCAAGCAAATCATATAGCGTGAAAGACGAAACAAGCAGTAAGTTTTCGATATTTTGAGAGTAACATCTGTATCTTTGAATCTTTTATTAATTCTTTTATTAATCTAATTTTTTATTAATCGTTTATTTTCAGATGATATCATGGCAGTTATAAAATTGGATAATCAAACCGTAGGACAAACTAGTTGGCGTCCATGTTCCCAACAAGCTTGGGACCAAAGGTAGTGCTAATACTAATTGATCAATTAATACAACTCAATTATCTTCATAATGTCATGTGTCCAATAAAAATTTCTAGGTTTTCTATTGAGCTTGATAAATCGAGAGAACTTGAAATAGGCATTTATTGGAAAGATTGGCGATCTCTTTGTGCGGTCAAGTTTTTACGTTTAGAAGAATTCATTGATGACGTTCGACACGGCATGGCTCTACAATTGGAACCGCAAGGCCTCTTATTCGCAGAAATAAAATTCTTAAATCCAATGATTTCGCGAAAGCCTAAATTACAGCGTCAACGCAAGATCTTTAAGCAACAAGTGAAAAATTTCCCAAGAGCAAATCAAATGAACATAAATGTCGCGACTTGGGGTAGGTTGCTTAAACGTTCGGCGCCTTCATTGCACAATTCCTCCAGAAACTCTGAGAGTCCGCCGTCAGGTAAAGATTCAATCTCATCTGCGTATAATGCAAAGTCTTACCAAGATATCTTATATATTTTGATTTGCAGGACCACAACCGTTGCAACTTGTGTTTGATACCTCAGTAGAAGATAAGCCTGAAACTCCCGGCGAAGTGCCCGATCCGGAGAAAGGAGGATTGGGTGGCGCACGGCCTTTGAATATGTCAACATCAAGTAATAGTAGTCCAACTCTGCCACGTCCTCCGGAGCATCCTCCCCCACCGCCACCAATTGTGACAAAGAAACCTTCTCCGCCTGCACCTACACCACCTCCCAAATTGGATCAAGAGGTAAAAGTCTTCATATATGCGTATTTTTTTAATATCATCATTATTTTTTAAATGAAAGAGCTCACGTGTAGATACTCAATATTATTTGTTATAAATGCTGTTTATTGTGTTATACGTATTTGTCAATCTTTGCTTTTGATGTAAAGATAAAACTGCCTAATGTCACACATCGTAACGTAATCGTTACAAGTATATGATATGATATTATGTGTGGAAAGTTTTCATTATGCTACAAATATTTACTATACTCATTATATTTTTATGATATTATTCCTACTTTTAATCACTCAAGAAAATTATAGCAATATGTATTAGAATCTCAAGGCTGGGAATCTTGGTTATGGGATAGAACAATTTTTAAAATAAATGTATATGATAATTAGATACATTTTTTATAAAGTTATAATTCTAGTGAACGTATATATACATATATATCTTGATGCGGCATGTTATCAGATATATTATGTATTTCTGCAATTATAAAAAAGTAGTTTAGTTTAATTTGCACTTGCTTTAAGAGAATATCTCGTAGTCATTACACACAAATTCTTTATTAAATGGAAATACAGGTTTCCTGTTTTCTAGTAGCTGTATTATATAAATTATTTTACGATAAATACAATTTTATTTTCTTGCACAATCGATTGCACAATCGAAAACAATATATACATATATATATTTACACTGTCCTTTCAAATTTTCAAAATCAACAAATCCAAACTCCCTATTATAAATGATAAATCACAAGTTATAGAATTATTATAGAATAAATACATATTTCAAAATCCAAATTATATATTAGTTATATAGCCATGCATGTGTTCAATATCGGTGCGCAATATAAAATTTACGACAGTTTCAATCAAACATTAGAGCTAAAGAGGTAGCAATGTAGTTGCAGAGTGCATTAAGGGAGTTTGATTTTCTGCACAACGAGGAAAAGGGCGGGCCTCAGGGTGCAAACTTGAGGCCCCTTGTGACAGAGCCCCGCCCTGTGCTGATTGCACCACCCTCTCCACGCACACCCTCGCCCCAACCTGTCGTCGAGTTTCCTGAGGATGAGGTACATACCCTCCACATACACACAACATTGCTTTGCTTGCTTTAGTATGTTGCATGCAAATACTGAAGAAACATGTAATTCTTTGTAATGCTTTTATCTTGTAAGCTATTGTAAGCTATATTATAGGCTATTTTATTTTTATCTTTATAAAATATTATCTTATACATTTATCTTATATTAATCCCTACTTTCTCTCCGAATCTTTCGTCTATGCATTGCATGTATTTCTAATTATATTAAGATATATGCTACCTAGACATAAAATTAATAACCATACGAAAATTTGAATAATTAAGATATTGCAGTTAACCTGTTATTGTGTTAACCTATTATTGTCTAAGATCTAGGACACATTTAAAGTGTCTTATTTTTACAATATAATTCTATTTAACTAACATATAATTCTTATATTTTTATGTAATTACTTTTAACATATATATTTAACTAACTTATAATGATACGTTAAAACATGCATTTGTACGTAATTGGTTGTTTCAATTAAACCTTTCTGTCCTTCAGGTTGTATATGAAATGCCAGTTAGACCTCTTCAGTATAGAGATAGTGCCTACGAGTCAAGAAGGCATTCTCAGCTCACTGGTATGACTCTGGAGAACTTTAGACTACTCTCCGTACTCGGGCGTGGACATTTCGGCAAAGTAATACTGTCGCAATATAGAAACACGGGAGAGTACTTTGCAATTAAGGCCTTGAAGAAGGGAGATATTATAGCTCGAGATGAAGTGGAGTCATTGCTTTCTGAGAAGAGAATATTCGAAGTAGCAAACACGACGCGCCATCCTTTCCTCGTTAACTTATTTGCGTGTTTTCAAACTGAGGTACCGATAATAGTTCTCTAGTGTTTTTGGTACAATTTGTAAGATATGAGAGAATAAGAAAGATGAATTCTTTTTAGGCACATGTATGTTTTGTGATGGAATATGCAGCTGGCGGTGATCTTATGATGCATATACATGCTGATGTTTTTGGGGAGCCACGCGCTGTGTTCTATTCCGCTTGTGTGGTTCTCGGATTACAATACTTGCACGAAAATCGTATTATTTACAGGTATGTAATATATACACTAAGTATAATCCAGCAATATACATATATATATCTAATATATTTCATGATATACTTTATTTACAGAGACTTGAAATTAGATAATCTGCTATTAGATACGGAAGGTTATGTTAAAATCGCAGATTTTGGTTTATGTAAAGAAGGTATGGGATTTGGCGAGCGAACAGGCACATTCTGCGGAACTCCTGAGTTCTTAGCGCCCGAAGTGCTGACAGACACTACTTATACGCGAGCTGTAGATTGGTGGGGTCTTGGAGTCTTAATATTTGAAATGCTGGTTGGAGAGGTAATTTTAATGCTTTAAAATATTATATGCTTTGTTTAAAATATATTTATATTGAATATTAAGTAAAAATGTAATGTGTTTCAGTCCCCTTTCCCGGGTGATGACGAAGAAGAAGTGTTTGATTCCATTGTCAATGACGAAGTACGATATCCGAGATTCCTTTCTTTGGAAGCAATTGCAATTATGAGAAGAGTAAGTATCCTTGTTTTACTACTTTTTTTGTTTCTCTAACATAAAACTTATCCACGTGTTTTCTCTATAACAGTTACTCAGAAAGAATCCAGATAGGAGACTAGGTAGTAGTGAAAGAGACGCTGAAGATGTTAAGAAACAAGCATTTTTCAGACACATAGCTTGGGATGATTTACTTTTAAGACGCGTGAAACCACCTTTTGTACCAGTAATTGTAAGTATCACTTTAATTTATTGATGCATCAACTTTGAATATGTAAAAAGAAGAGAGAAAGAGATTACATTTGTTAATATGAGTAAACTTTAAATATCAATTGGAAATTAGAATTAAATTGGATCTTTTTTCTTTCTTAATATTTTCTTACATGGAAATGTTTTTCTGTTATTAGCATTCAGTGGAAGATGTAAGTAATTTCGATGAAGAGTTCACATCAGAGAAGCCACAACTAACGCCTCCAAAAGATCCTCGGCCTCTTAGCGACCTAGAGCAGGGTCTGTTTAAGGACTTTACTTACATGGCTGATTGGTGCTAGCCATAATGATTGATAAATCTCTCGATGGGGAAATATCGGCATAATTGATAAAAAGTTGCTTCATACTATGGAATTCGCGCAGCTGTGGTATTTACACGCGCGTTTGTTTATCTGGGCAATATATATCATATGTCATTATACATCATGTATAGATTTTTTATTTTAGATACTATATTAATGATCACAGTAGGCACATTTACAAGAGAAATTTTTAAACCAAAGTTGTGGGGTGTACATGAATGCAGCTCCACAGGTCAAGATCTATTCGTTAGTGAGACTAATATCTCTACTTTCTCGAATATAATCAGATGAGTTAGGATTATTGGTATTCTCTCTCTCAGATATCATCTTGAAATTAATCGATAACATTTTGAATGTTTTCGATTTGGAGTCGATATAGATAAAAACCCATATAAACTCTATATTATTTGGGTATTCTAGGAAAATATCTGCCATTTTCGAATGCTAATTTCTTTGCTTTGTTGCGATGACTACCAAGAAGCCTAAAAGATTTTGTTGATATTGCGCTTTCAATGCGGTTGAATATAATTTTGGTGCTCGATTGCTCACTCTGGCGAACGGCTTCGCTAAAAACCCCGAAATAAGGTATCTCTTCGTATAGGTTGTGAGTCTCTACGGTAAGTGTGATCCACAGTATCCGTCAATAAGCTGAATTGGGGGAATTGGAAAAAAGTTGAAAACAAATGCTTTCTTGTCTCATGTTGGGTTATTCCTAGCACTCTCAGTTGCATGACAGAGGTTTGGAAAAAATTTCCAGCAATAAAATTTCTCTCTTTCTTTGGTTATTGATTGCCTGAGTTCTAAAGATACAATTTTAAACCAAAGCATGGCAGTGGAATAAAAATTAGGAGACGCTTTTTGTAGTGCGACAATATTAATTAAAAATTTACTGAAAGTGAATCCACTCACTTCAGTCTTTCTAATGGTATAAATTGCCCGTTAAGATTGACTTCTTGTATAGACATTCCAGTTACTGGATCCTGGATCGTTATTCTGGGGAAGAACTGTCTTGTCTGAATGCAGCTTATGTGGTTAATTTTATCACCTTAGAAATCTGTCTTTTCTGAGGTTAGCCTTTTGATTTAACTTTGGCAGTTGTTCTTCAGACGCTACAATTGCGTCAGAATTTTTCTAGCTTTCTTGTTTCCTCAAAAACTACACTTCTATGTAGCCTTCGTGGTAAGTTGGAATGGTTTAAAAACGTACAGAACGCTAATTACATGGTGTTATTTATGGGGGATTATGTGAAAATATGTAGTAAAGTTTTCAGAAAATATAATATTCACCAACAATTGCATGCGCGAACTTTGTTCCAGAAACTTCTTTTATCGAATCTCAAAAGTTTTCCGCAAATGTATGAGTTGCACATTTTTAATAAATAACTGGTGCATACGAATTTACAATCTGTGGTTTGATATGAAGTAATATTGTAAATGAGTTCATATTCTTGAAGAGTTAAAGAGTTCCGATCAATTCCTGTCAAGCAGAAGAGAAAACGATGAAATCTATGAATCTTTCGACAAAGAAGTTTTTTCTTCGCATATAAATGAGAATATTTTTAGATTATATTTGCAAAAGTGATCTCCAAACACTTTCTGTCCTGTTGCTAGTATTAAATATGTATGGATATCCTTTTGCGTGAAGATATATTATTTTCAACATTTCGTTATCTATGTACTGCTATTATGTATAGTAACACATGCAATTACTCAAAGATTTTATATATCCTTATAGAACTTAAAGGATAATCATAATAATGAAAACAATATTAACATTTATTAAGAAAGCATAAAGTAAATCAAAATGTAGCTATACTTGCTCATGCTCATGTGATAAAGAATTGAATTTGAAATGGCGCTATGTATATGCAACAATAATGATCATATTGACATTAACATTCAGCGCTTTAATTAAACTAATCACATATTGTCTGTTATGATAATTGGAAATTTAATCCATTTATGTATAGCTAATTTTGCAAGATTATAATGATGTTAGACATACGAGCCCTATGATATCACGTGAGAAGCAGCGCATTAACATCATATATCAGAGTCCTTTAGGTTCGTTTAATATGTATCCCAATTATGTTTCATCGTTTAGTTATGTACATTTATATTCTAGTTTATAAGATACTTTTACTAGTTCATGTGCTTCATATCATGTATGTATTACGAGCAAAGTCCGCATAGTGTGCAGTGTCGGCATTGCCCGGGCAATGTCAGCATTGAACAATGCGACTGGGCAAAGTAGTTTATTAGTCGCGTTGTACAATGCTGACATTGCCCGGGCAATTCCGACACTGCACACTATGCGGACTTTGCCCGTAACATATATATAAATATATAACCAAATGTGTCGAGAGAATAATAATGAATGATATTTCTCTATGTTCAATAGCTGTTAGTGTAGTATTGTATGATCAATTTTAATTAACTTTACAACATATTATCATAAGACATGTTTCACGTTTTACTTCGAACATACTTGAATACATTTTTTAAGATTCGGTTTTAATTTTGCAGAGAATGATCTGAAAGCTGTGTAATATTGGAGTAGCTGTTAGATTTTACTTATGAAAAGCTTTTAAATTAATTTTTCTTAATTATTGCGGAACATTTCTTTCTTTACGGATGCTACTACCTATATATATTGTAACTTTAGTATTTAATAATTAATCCTTTATAGGATTTCGATTGTTCTTAGAACTCACACATACACAATCTAAATGTAGTCCATGGTACACTTCACCCATCTCTTAAAAGGTGCCTACGATAATCGAACAACTTTTGATATATAATATGCAATAGAACTAGACAATTTTCTGGCTATTAGTAAGAAACGAAATAATCCGATATTGTATATAATCTTTTTGACCTGTCATTTATCTCTATATGTACTACGTCTTAGAATTGAAATTGAAGATTGAATTATGGACTTTATGACGGTGCAAATGAGAAAGGATATTTCAAATAGAGCTTGGTAAGATTTGTGTTAGTTGATTATGATACAGTTCATTTAATTTTATTTCAAATTCGTAAAACAATTGTAAAACAATTAATCACATTGTAAAACAATTAAACTACAGTTAAATCGTTTTGATGATTGTAAATATTGATTGCTGAAATCTTATTACATCAGTGAGATCTACCAAGTTTTATTTGCATTGACCTTTTAACAGGGCGTAAATATGTAATGACCAGAATTACTTGTGAAACTTTAATATCGAACATTATTATCATAAAAAATTAACTGTGTCATTAGTGATAGATTCGAGTATCTCGAGATCTAGTTGCCTTACTGCAATTATAAATTGATATGTATATAACCATTTTGGTATCTATTTTATATATAATTTTTATACACGCAGAATGGTTCAGATCTGGTAGAAAAATATTTTAGGTGTTTCTAAAATTTTTTTCGGATCTTGAACATAATATACAGCAGTGGAAGATAATTTAAAAGATGCGGATAATTTTTATATGCCTGTTTTCTATTCTTGTATTCTATTGTATATAAATTTTAAAATCTGGTCTTTTTATATGGTATTATACGGCTTTGAAATAAAGAATACAAAATTCATGAAAATTTACATGATGACACATTTAGTAATAAAAACAGGCAAAGAAAAATATGGCATATATACATACGAAATAATTTGTAAAGCAATATGGCAATTTGAAATAGATCTTGCGCGAGGGGGAGACCTAAGTGTTTCATTAATAACATTACGTTTCGCAAAATACAACATTATTCTAGTTTCTAGATCTCCATTGACACGTGTTTATTATTTTTATATCTTACATAGCAGAAAAAAGCTATACAGTATCATTCTTTTTATGCTACTTTCAACTGCCTACAATATTTAAAAACTTTATAAACGATTTTGAATGAAAAAAAAATTATTTTTTACGTCAAATAATACCGTTTTGTATTTTATGTTTTACAACGTACGTATAACTTGATACATATTATAAGATGGCATCGTGTGTGAACAAATTACTTTTACCACTGATATTGCACGCAGCTCTTCATAGAAAAATTAAATTATTTAATGGTTTTGTGGAATACATGGTCCAAAATGCGATAATTAAAAAAATTTATGTACATATAAACATCTTATAGTGTTTTGTAGATAGATCTACTCTCTCATAAAGATTTTTTTATTAGATTATTATTTCGTTACATGTATTTTTTATAACAGATAATTACATAGCAATTACTAGATATAAGTTTGGTTAAAATGTTCGCTATATTTATCATTAGTTTTATTATAATAAGGAAATTTATGTGCCTCGTATTTTGTAGTGTCTACTAATAATACATGGCTAGAGATGAAGATTTTTAAAAATTAATTTATTTAATTCATATATATTTGCAGTGGCAGCTTATTACATATCACTTTAAACAATTACGCAATCCTTAGAGGTATTCTCAAAATCCGCATTATATGTGAATTACTTTAAAAAATAAATATTAAAAATATACATCTCTCCCCACTTCTAAATGCACTCTCTCCTATCAACGCGTATTTATTGTAACTAAAATTATTTTACTTATTTATTGCAACGAAAATTATTTTACTGTGCTTAACAACAAAAATTACAATATACTGAAAAGTTTACTTCCAATGTGTCAGAATTTTTTACAAGTTTAGCTTAGGTTTGATACATAAAATGTAAGGCGTGCAAGAAAAAAACATAAATACCAATATACAAACAGCAGACATATATTACATCAAAATTATATATTAAATAGAAGAAAAGTATCATAATATATCCAAACTGGAATCAATATTTGAAGATTCTGTAGTAATATTCAAGCCAGGATTACAATTTTGATCGTTAATCTCACGAGTAGTACCTAAAGTCTTTGCTAATTCATACAAGTTTGGAGTGTTTCTCCGGATTTCACTTTCCAAATTAAGTATCTTTTCCGCTTTTTCCTTTTGTCGTTTGCTCGCTTCTGGTGCCGCTGGCTTTGAGAGGCCAGCGCTTACCGTGTAGAAAACACTGCTGCTATCTTCAGATTTAAATACAAATGTCAATCTGTTGGACAAGATTCGTTCGTTATTCGTACATTCAATCAATAAAAACCACGGTGCGGGAATATGAAAGAGATGCGAGACAAACTCGCAGTATTACCGTTCATTTTGCAGTAACTGTTGCATCTCCTCAATCTTTTCAAGACAGATGTTATACTTGGTTGGCCAAGGCACGTAGATCTCCAACCGAGAGTGCTCCCTTTTCTTCACCTCGAAATAGATGACGTCAAGTTCTTCGTTGTACTTGTACTTGACGTCCCAGTATCGCTTCACTGAAAAGAATCATCAGGAGAATAGATTGCCCGTGTTTATCATCCACGTAAATTGGACATACAATACCTTCGCATATCTCGATGTAGACGTAAAAAGCGGTGCTCGTTTTTATCGGGTCATTACAGCCGAGTTTGCACAGATGATAATACTGCAAGCGTACATTGAGAACGATCGCAAAATAATTACACTAAATGTTTACGTATACATAGGCATGCGGACATTCTCAGATCTATAAGATCGCGCGGGCGCGTTCTTCTCAGTTACTCACGCTGGGATGGCATATGTCGTACATCTTTTCGCGCGCAGGAATGGAATTCGCCCCGTTTTCCGTCGCGAAACTATATTGTCATCGTAACTTGGGGGGGCGAATGTCAGAATGTCAGTGGGAACTGGCACATGTGTTCGCCGACGGTTTCAACTCGCTCCGCGACGCTGCTCCACGACTCCACGGCCTACGGCCTGGGCCGCCACCACCACGACCACGCGCTTCTTCTATGAGCGTCCATCTGGCGTTTGTGGCCAGAAAGACGTTAAAACAAAATCGTTATCCGAGGAGAGACTTGCTTTACCTCTAGAGTTGAAGAGAGGTTTCTCTTGATCATGCAAGGATGTCGCCAAAGCATATATCGAAGATATAGAACACCGAAGACTTTTGACCAATATATTGACCAATTCTTGGCTAATAAATTAATTTAATTACAGAACTATAGAATCAATTAACTTACTATAGAATT